CTAAAAACGAATAAAAATCACTATATATAATTAGTTTTATGTCAAATAGAAACCTTTTTACAAAAGTTTGAAGGGTGTATGGACACCCCAGTTACCCTTTAGAGGGTGAGAAAATTCAGTTACTTTTTATAGGGTTAATAGAATTGTCTTAAAAATTTAGCTTTAGAAGACTTTCTGTCTAATGACTACTTTATCAAATAAAAATTAGATTCTATAGAAATTTTTTTAATAAAACTTTTGTTAAATGAGAATTTTTTTATATAGAAATTCTTTTAATTGGAAATTCTGTTTATTAAAACACTTTTAAGTGAATATTTGGATAAATAGAACTTGGACAAAAGAACAATTCTAATACATAAAAAAATTTTTTTAATAAACATTTTTCGAGATATAAATTTTTTCATATGGAAATTGTATTACTTGAAAATTCGATATATTAGAAAATCTGCTCTATCACAGTCCAGTTAAATAGAAATTCTACAAAATCAGAAATTTGTTAAATAGTAATTTTTTTATATTAAAATTGGGCTCATTATAAAATCTTTTTTTTTTAATTCTACTAAATGTAAATTCGATAATTTTTAATTTGACACCAAAAAAAATCCGCCAAATCTAATGAAGAGAATATTCATGCGTCCCAAAGAATAGTCATCAATATCACTTCTAAATAGATAAATTAATCAAAATATCTTAACCCGTTTTTGCTCGCAACCCATTTTTACTCCCATTCAAATTATAACCCACTTTTACTATCAGCTTCTCAAGTGAAAATGTAAACAATATCGATTGTGTTATTCCATTTGCGGTTATACCCGAGATATCTCGGGGTAAATAATTTTAGTGAAATCCATGCAAAATCTCAATATTTTTTATTAAAAATTCTTACCTCACACTAAAGCCGAAAATAACAAGTGAAATGCAGGATAACTAAGAATACGGAAAAGTGACGATGAAACTGATGCTTTCAAAACAAAACGGTAACTGACGATGCAACTGATTATTTCAAATCAGAACGATAATTGACGATGAAACAGAGGATTTCCAATCAAAACGGTAACTGCAAGGTGAAAATAAAACTATAGAAATTGTTTTTTCTATTTAAACAAACACTATTTTATAAAAATAAATAGATAAAATACTTTTAATAGGTTTACAAATATTTTTTAAATATAATAATATTTATTGATAGACACATTTTTGAGTTTTGTTTTGTTTTTTTTTGAATATGTGACGCGATCTGAAGAAAGGGACTTTAGAAACTAAAATTATAGGTTATGTTGTGAAATTTTTAAGTGAAAATACACAATTTAATATATTTAAATATTAATATTATTATTAATTAATTAAGATTATTATAATATATTGTTGAAATTATATATTATATAATTAAGTATTAATGAATAGATACTTTAATATTAATAGTTTTATCAATATTAATATTAAATATAATTAATAATAATATCTTTATTAATAAATTTATTTTTTTGTTCTTTATTTGATATTTTTATTACTATTTTTCTTTATATTAATAATATTTTTAAAATATTAAAATAATTGTTATTTAAAGTTAGGGGCATTAAGGCATTAATATTTCAATTATCTTGAAAAAATGGAAGTAAAATTTTTAAGAAACTCAATTTTTTTAAAGATCTATTTTTGGCTCTTGGTAAAACTCACTTATTTATCAATTCTTAAATTGAAATTTTTCAAAAACTCGATTTACTTTCAAATAATTTAATAAAATACAGTTTTTCGAAATTCAAAATATAGAAAAAGTTTTCAATATAATATTTTCAAAAATTTAACTTTTCTTCAAAACAATTGGAATTAAAATTTGTCAAAAAGAAACCTAATATTTACAGAATAGACCTTTTCATGCTGTTCGTTCTGTCCTTATCTAGCGCATATAATGACGCATGAGTTGGAAGAGGACAGATTGATCAGCATGAAAAGGTCTATTTTAAAAAAATTTTATTCGAAAATTCAATAATTTTTTGAAATAAATATATATATATATATATATATAAATATACATTATGTGTGTGACGTCACAAGTTGGCAATATATTTTTGATCGCGAGCAAAGTAAAATAATAGAGAAAATTGCACCGATGCTTCTAGAGTGAGAAAAAATTGCACTTCCATTTACGATGAATATATTTACTATTAACGATTATTCCATCATCCAATATATTATAAATTCGATTAATTTTGTAAATAAAATACAGAAATACCGAAATAATATCTATTTTTACAAAAATTTATCGATTAATAACGCAAAAATTCTGTGAACCACATTCTACGATTGTGGGGAAAAAATGACGCCAAGCCAAGCGTGCACAAAATGGGGCGGATTTTCAACGATAAAATTTTCACGAAGCAAAAATTTACTATTTTAATTCAATTTAGAACCCGATTCTTACTTATTTGAAGAGTATTTCTGAATTTCGGACGAATAAAATAACTAACAAGAACACCGAATAGATCAACCAAAAAAATTTTAAACACTCAAATGATATTAACAAAGAATTCACTTTTTTACTTACACTCCTCTCTGCGACGAGTAGAACAATGAGGAACATGAGGAAGAAATGGTTTTAGTGGGAGTTTACTGGTAGCGCCACAAGTCGACACTTCCTGTCGTATGAAACCAAAATGGCGAATTTGAATTCAAAACGATCAACATAACCTGTATTAATCTCGTTTTTTCTATTTCAACACATTCATATTTTTTTTTCAATGTCAACCACCTTTTTTATAAGTGAATAAAAAACAATCAGTGAATTAAAAAAACAATAAAAAAGGAGGAGGCGTTGGCCTTTATGCTTTCAGCGTCAGAAATGCATGCACATGCGCAGTGTGAAAAATGGGAAATTTGAAATTTAAAAAATAAAATTGAAGTCTGTAAATAAAATGAAATTAAAATATTTGTTTTCATTTAATGGATATTTGTATATTTTATAATAATTTCTTTTTATTTTGTAATTGTATTTTTAATTATTAATAATATTTAAAAGTACATTTTTTTATTGTTTAATTGTATTTTAAATTAATAATAATATACACGTACATTACAGTTAATTTAAAATTTTTTAAGTGATACCACTTGACAAGAAAAAGTGCTTAAATTAATTTAAAATTGTTTATAAACAAATTTTTAAGAATAAAAATATTTACTCATACACACATTTTTGATTTATTTTATTGACTAAAATTGGTGTAAAATTTGGAAACTGAAAATAAGATTGTGAAAATAATTTTTTCTAGTTGAACAGACCCCATTTTATAAGGATAAATGTATAAAAGAATTTGAAATTGTTTACAAACATTTTTTAAGAATAACAATATTTACCAATAGACAAATTTTTGAGTTATTTTATTGAATAAAATATAACATTTTTGTTGACATTTGTTGCGCTTGAAGTTAGAAATCCTTCATGTCTAAAGGTAATGCAGATTTTCATTTTCAACTGTTTTTCCAAACATTTTTTAAACGGCTTTGCCCCCAATGACAAACATTTTTTATTTTTAAAATTTCACTTATATAAATAAAAAAATGAATTTAAATTTAATGCAGATCGTGTAGATAAATGATTCATTTATTCAATCGAAATGTTTTTAAGACCCAAGTGCTTAAAACTATTTTTTAAATTTGAATCTTCGATCAACGAAATTTTCATCTCTTCCTTGCAAAAACTATTTTTATATTATATTTCTTATTGTACTTAATATTTTCGAGTTTTTTTCTTTTCTAATTAATTGCTTTAATCATATTAATAATAAACTGTAAACAAAAATTGTATTAGATGAGAAAGAAGAAAGATATTTTGAAAAACGCCTTTGCCCCGCTCTCCCCTATATATTGAGAAATAAGAGAATAGTATCGCCTTCTATCTTATCAGTGTATAAACTAAAAGAGAAAAAAAGTTTCCTTCTCGGTTTCCTCATAATTTTAACTGAAAACTAATATTAAAATTATTCTTTTTTAAATAACAATTTTTTGAAACTTTACTTTCTTTAACTGCTTTAATGAGACTAAAAAAACTAATAAGAATAAGAAACCCCGGTTCTTGAACTTGAAAATGATAAAAAAAAACTTTTAAATCTTCTCAAGAATAGCCTCCGTGTAGGATATCCCGAATATCCGGATGCTGTTAGGGATGTTATTTTTCATTTGCAGGCTACAGTTAAGGGAAATGAAAGAAAAAACTAAAACTCGATTATATTTTCAAATAGCAGGTACCTTTAGAATATGTTCCACTTCAATGATTGTAGAATAAACAAGACACAAATGTATTCCATATACATTATTTAAAAATTAAATTTAAAATACATAATATATTTGTCAATATAATTATCATTTTATTTAAAAAAATAAGAGAACGAATAAAAAATACCACGTACCCTATATACTGTGCATTTTCGCGCTATATTTCCAATTTGAATATATTTCCATAAAAACAATATTATACTAATTTAAAGGAATATAAATATTGTTTTAATATTTAGTATACTTATAAAAATAAATTTCTAAGAATTCAATTCTGATGGAGCTTGTGAAACCTGTTATAGCATTCGTGTTCATTCTGAATAATTTCAGTTTACCTGGCAAGCTATTATCATGGTTAAAAGTCAAGAATTTAAAAAAGACTTCGTACTAAACTATTAGCAAAGGAATGTATGTAATTATGTATTTATCAAAAACAATGAATTCAATTATAATTATACCAATAGTGGTTAAACTTGAAAATAATAATATTGGCTGACTCAAACATGCAACACCTACTTCGATAAATACAGTAGATTATTACGTGGTTGGGTCAGCCTATATATTCATTCTTCTATTGTTATTACTGATTGATTATAGATATGGAAAGTTGAAAATAATCTTATTCTATAACCATCCGCAAAGATAATTTCTTTTAATTAACAACGGTTCAAAAACATATTTAAAGTTTTGTTTACTTAGCAAGTTTTTATTTTAAACGTTCCCGCTTTTAGGATTGAACTGACAAATCAAAGTCGCATGCGCGATAAAATAAACTTTTTTTTCTCGGCAAGACATAAGGACGTACTTAACAACAAAACAAATGTCAAAAGAAATGTTTAATCTTTTTTATGAAAACAGTATCTAAAAGTGTTAGTTTAAAAATTAAGAGAATAAATACAACTGATACATTTATTAAAAAAAACAATTCATTTTTAATATTGTATTATTATTTTCAGGTGTTTTAAATAAATCTTATTTACATATTTAGTATACGGCTGGTTATATACTATATTTTTTTAATAATTTACGCTTTAAAATGGATGCATTCATACAATTAAACAATCAAACTGCTGGTCGTGATAAGATTATAAGGTTAGTTTTTACTCGATATTTTTTTAACTATTTTTTTAAACTTATTTGATACCTACTTATTTTTCATAAAAATTTGAGTATTAATTTTAATTTATTAGAACTTTGCAATACGGCAGTCGTGCTTACTGGTTTTATACTCAAAATAAACACAGTACAGCTTATTCTGTGGATGTTTTGAAAAGTCTCGAATACACCTTCAGCTCATTTAGAAAATGTGAGGGAATTTTATTTATTATATATATATATATATATTACATTTTTAAATTATAAATTACTCAGCACTTTTGTTTGTTGATCGTATTTTTATTTCACCATTTCAAAGTCCAATTCTCCATTGGTTTTCTTTTATAATTCAAGAAATTTTTCTTTTTTGCAGTGCTACGACTAGGAAGATGTTTCGAGAGTCTATACTCTACATTTTCGACAATAAATTATCCCGATGTGGTTATAAGGATAACAATGTCCGTATCACGAATTTCGAGTGCTCTCTTCCTTTTGGCTGATCATATTATTTGGATTGGTCGTGTTGGAATAATGCAAGTTGACATTTCCAAATGGACTTCAATGTCAAATCGTTATTGGTTAATGATGCTTATCATGAATTTGACGAGAGATTTTTATGAAATTCTTCAAATTTTAAAAGACTGTAAAACAAATTTATTATGGAATAGAGCCTCAAAACGTAGTGTATTAAAATATTACGGTCAAGTTTGCAGTCATTTCAAGTATCGCACAGATATTATATCGGATACAATTAAAAATGGTTGCGATATTTTTATTCCATTGACTGCATTAGGTTATACAAAATTAAGTCCTGGTGCTGTGGGAATATTAGGTGTAATTTCTTCATTAATAGGAATATACACTCTTGTTTATCCCGCTGCAAAATTGGTGCCATCGTGAAAATGTTGTTTTACAATTAATTATAATAATTAGTATTCGCTCATTATATATATGTATATTGATAAATTAATTAATATGGTAACCAAGAAGACTTTTTTTTATGGCATAATGTTAAAATATTATTGAACAATTAATATACATACATTTTAACATAAATTATCAAGCATTTAAGATACAAATTTATAGTTTTACAATCTGATATAAATATTATATAAATATACCTTTACGAATAATGTTACACAATATTCATGGTTTATATTTTTGTATAAAATGAAAATGTTAGTAATATATGTTGACAAAAGTTCATTATAAATTTTGTTGTTTAATTTTAAATGTCTAATATTCTAACATTTTTAAAGTTGTTTGATTACGATTAGTTACAATACTTTTTTTATAAGTCGTCATTTATTACAAATTATTTTATTTAAATTGAACCGCCGTAATATACTTTGCTTTGATTTCCGGTTTTATCTAGCCTTACCTTTAATTATCTAACCTATGTTTAAGTCGCATTTGAATGTTGATCGTTGTTTACATTTTGATTAATGATGATGTTCACTGTTTAAGAAAATGAGATACCTTTTAATTAAAACGTTATTAAATGTGATAAATAATACATTTTGCTATTATAATTAATATTACACACTTTAAGAATGAATACTTCATCAAACAATGAAGAAAGAAAAAAAGAATGGCCTTATTTTAAAGGGAATAAAAGTAAATATGAAATTAATATGTAAATAAATGGTAATAATTCGTATTTAGAGTATATATACATATAAAAGTTAATTTTTTGTTAATATTATAGATACAATTGATCAAAAGGTGCCCCTTCTTATAATGGAAATACACAGACTGCGGCCTTTCTTTTCCATAGATAAACCTCGATTACATGTGCTTAATATGCCAGAACTGCAAATCCGTAACGTTGAGATTATTGGCATTATAACAAAAGCTTATGAACGAAGTAGACTTGATCTTATAAGTAACTATTCCTCTAAATTTATAAACAAAATTAATTAATTAATTAATTAATTAATATTATTTTTAATATTTCAGTTGACGATGGTACAGGACAAATTTCAGTAGTATTCAAATTGATGAATGAACTGAAAGAGGAACGTAAGAAGATTGATTCGAAATTCCAAAGATTGAGCAAAGTTGCTGAATTAAAAAATTTAGAACCCGATCAATACCAGTTAGAAATACAAGTTAGTAAATGTTTTAAATAAATAGATAAAATCTGATTTTCAATATAATTTTTCTTTATCAATGTTAATTTTTATAAGATATAAATTTGATAGTCAAATAATTTTAGAACTTGGAAAAACGATGGATGCAGGAAACAAACAATGGTAAATTGGGAATTTTTCAAGTGTTGGATTACGTTAATGTCAAAGGATTTATTGATTTAGACTTTGGAAAAAATAAAGTAACGAAAAATGATTTATCTCTTGACAAAGGTAATCTATGCAAACCTGTTATTTATGCTAAAACCATTCAACATATAACCGAAAAGGAATATAATGATAAAATGCAAAGTTTCATTTCAGGACTAGTTAGAAATAGATATCATGAAAATTAAAAAGAAAATGTTAACTTATCTAATGATATTTAAAACAAATATTTATAATATTATTTGAAATCTAGGTATCTTTTTTTTATACATTTCTTGAAATAAAATTTAATTACATAATATAATTTATATAAATTTTATAATTATAAATAATAGTTAAAATTTATAATTTATAAATAAAAATTTAAATAATAAAATGTTAAAATTGAAAAATTATTCCAACACAATATATTTAATTAAAGCAAAGAATTTAAGTAACTGTAACATGAAGTAAAAGACTTAATCAGTATTAAGTATTTATTACATATAAGCATTTATACAATACAAAGTATTTGTTTAGACATGACTGGTATTATTAGTGTCCTCATTTTCTTAAATATGTAGAAACATTCTTTCTTACCTCAGAAACGGATGTGGATTTAAAAAAGAAGGGAAATAGGTTCGCTGAGAGACAAATAAAATAAATAATTATAACATCAACCTAGACCACAGAATAAGACCCAAATATATAATTACACACGCAGGAAATTAATTTTTTTAAATGAAACTCGTCATTAAATTTGCAATTTGGTTACAATTATCATTACAACAAAATCGTTGATCAAATTATGTATAAGTTTTGTCTCTCACATTACACAGCATAATGGGAATTTTATTTTTTTGTGCTACCATATCGCAATTAGTATCAGTTAATAATAATTAGACGATACATCTTAAAAGTGTGCAAAAAAAAAATCAAGTTCATAGAAAAATTCATCTACTATCAGCATAAAAGTAGATATTTTCACGAGAAAAAAAAACAATGAAAAAAAATTATTCAAAAGTATATACATATAAAAAAAGAAAAACTTATAAATTCGTTCTAATCAGAAATCGTGACAAAATTTAGTGCAATTTTTCTTAAATTCCCTTTCTTTTTATTCGATTTATAAATTAGACATTAAAAATACTCAAAAAAACCGCAAATTTTATCGTCGCAATATTAATTTTTTATATCTACGGTGTAAATAGCACGTGGCGTAAATAAACGCACATTGTAAGCAAAAATTTTAACATCACTCGCCGTAGAATGCATTTGTTTCGTTTCTTTTCTTTTAAACATTTATAATAAAAATATATAGCCACCAAAGGAATATGTTAATTATTCTAACTTTACTTCACACAGAATTTTTTTTTCTAAGATTCATCTTAATAAATACAAATGTGCAGCATCAAAATACTTTAAAAAGAATAAAAAAAATAATAGTTAAAGAATTTAAAAGAAATATTTTAAAGAAAAATAAATTCTCGGAGAAAATTCCCCAAATTTTAATTTTTGTAATACATTTTTATTTTTAAAATTCATTTTTTTTTAAATCACTGAAATCATTAAAAATTACTATTTTTCTTGTAAAAAAATCTTTTCTAATAAGATATATTTTTTTGAATATATCTTAATTTGTTTCTGAAAGAATCTGATTTTCTCTAGAAAAATCAGAGATTTCAGTTTATTACAAAGAATATTTTTTGTCGTATGCAACATTTTTGAAAAAATGAATTATGGAGAATAACATAAACAGCAACAATTATAGTATTATTAATAATTAGATTTTTATAATTATAATACTAGAATTCTAATAATATAATTATAATATTAATTCATAATTAGTAATTAATAATGTTAATTATAAAAAAGATGATAATGTATCGTCGAGAAAAATAAACAAAACATAATTATTGATGCTGCACATTGTATAATAATATATAACCATGCAACAAAACAATTATCATCACAGTTTAAAAACTAATGTGGTAAATTTACGAAATCGCAAATAACAATGAAATCTAGACTACCAGTATTTTGATGGACTCGGTCTCGCTCTCTCGTTCTCATGCACACATATTCTTTCATTTATTTTCCTTTCGCTCTCGTTTTCATTTGTTTTCTTTTTTTCAATATAATATATCTGATAAAAACAGTAAAATCGCTTGACTAGTTAGCGCACGCCCCGAAACGTATGGAAGAAAAGCTGTCGCTATATCGTTTTCCTCACAGTACTCAATTAAAAATTGCTACTAAATAATTCATTTTCATTTCTAATCAAGGTGCTATTTAAATCTCTCTCTTTCTCTCTTTCTCTTTCTCTCTCTATCTCAAGATGTAAACTTATCTTTTCTTGATGAAATATTACATCATTTTTGAGATAATGAAGATATTTTACATTCTTTAAAACATTTTATAATTATTGTAATATCTTATAGTTTTTTATAATGTTATAATAAATATAAAATATCCTCGTTGAGAAGATATTTTTATCTCATATAAAGATATCTTCATAAAAATCCTATATAAGATGATGATATCTTTATATCTTGAATACATATACACATAATATATATTTTTCTCCTCTTTTGTAATAAATGAAAATTCCTAGGCCGTGTTCACAGGAAATCTTCACATAAATACAATGATTTCGTAATTTTTTTTTAATCTGCGATAGTCAAGCAAAGATTCATTGAATCAAACTATAACTTCTAGTAAACAGAAAAATTTTACATTTATATCTTACATGATTCGAATTCGGGGGTCCCTTTTTATCCGCAGAGTATTTAGTGAGAATAGAATATTGATGAAAATAATTTTGCTTTTCTTTTTTCCGTATATATAATATATAAATAAAAAACAAAGACTTGAATTAAATGTTACAAACAAGCATTTAAATATCCTTTTTAAAGTTCTCGAAGAAAGTTAGTCTCGATATCAGTTTGCTTTAATATGATGGGTTTCTTTCTTTTTTTTTCATATTTATGTATTTTTTTGAAGTTACTTATAACTTACTTACTTGCCTGTTCTTTAATAATATTATTATTAATTAACGTTATATATTATTTTACACTTCTTTCATTATTATTATTATTATTATTATTTTTTTTTTGATAGATAAAGTTTAACTGATTTGAGCTAAACTGTTATCAGCCAAAGATAATTGTTTTGGATCCTATTGTATTAATAGTTTACTGCAATTCATCTTCTCATTTTGCGGATCCCTATTTGTTTCTGTATCTAAATAGTTTTGTTTTATTTACAATTGAAATATCTTGAAACTCGATACTCTCAGATTGATTCTATATCAGATGTCCGGAGCAAATTGATTATTCTTTTTGTTTGTATCTTCCTGATTCTTCTTGAATGGTTTGTCGTTTTCATTATGATAGTAGATCTAAATAATGAAACAGTTTCAGATTAATATTTCTATTTCGGGGGAATTTTCACGGTACTTATTTTTTTAAAGAATTTTTCACATAATAAATGGATTACAATTGTAAAAAAAGTAATTGAGCATAGCAGTACCTGTTACTTGATTATCTTGTTTGTTGTTAAAAACATCCTGGAAAGGATTAGTGTTGACATTAGTTGTTGACACAAAGGAATTGGCCATTGGAGTAAATGGTATTGCTGATGGATTAAGATTTGAGTTTAGCGTGTCTTCATTTGCTAGATTGGGTGTCAGCTCAAGTATTGGTCCACTACCACTATTACTCAAATTGTCAAAATCCGACAGGTCTAACAGGTTGTTGGTCACGTTGTTTTGCTTGCTATAAAATCAGCCAATGAAAACATACAAAAAACACTAAATAATGAAAAAAACACTACAATCACTACAAATCTCAATTTCTCTTGGTTAATTCAACTAAACAACGGATGTGGCCTATTACTATCAAATTTATTGATATTTTCCAATTTCAGATTTCAAGCAAAAAAATAAATTTACCTGTTTTTTAATTTAATTAAATTAACATAACATTTGTCTCTAAATAAAATTAATTAACATATTTTGAAAATATCGATAAATTTTGTAAGCACAATATAGAAAGTGTCTTGCAAATTGTGTGTAACATTTATACAGGGTGTTCTTGTAAAAAAGAGAAACATTTTTAGAAAATTCGGATATTCGTCGGAACACCCGGTATATATTTCTATTTAAAAAACTTTTTTTTAAGATGTTAAGAGTGAAAGAAAAGCGACTGAATATCTACACTAGGATATATGTTACTTAAATCTAAATTATTGTCACATTTTTATATCTGCTAAAGGTATACATGAAGAGATGATTCTTCTTCCTTAAGTATTGTTTTCCGTTTTTACATTATTTTCAGAGAGAGAAAAAAAACTAATAAAGCAAAAAAGCGTAACTTGGTACTAATGTCCAGTACTCTATAAAATGCAAAGAATGATTCGAGTTTTATAAATTTCACAAAAATTGAAAATACTTATAATTAAAAAAATATCATTTTATAAAAAAAAAATTTTTAGTAGAAAAATACATTTCATTAAAATACAAATTTTTAGCAATAATTAATTAAAAAAACAAACTTAAAAGATTAAAACAAAATAAATTTTAACAAAAAAATAGTTTGCATAATTTATTTTGCTGATTGGTAATTAGTTGAACTAATTAAAATGAAGTATGAAACTCATGCCCGAATTTTGATAATGATTAAATGAAAAAAATTAGACAATGAAACGCCGAATTGTAAAAAATTTCAAGTACATGGCAAAAGTAGACAGCATGTTGATTAACAAATAATGGTGTAAAATAATTGGCGACACATAGAGAAAAAAAATTTTTTTAAACAAATTGTGCAAAATAAAATGTGAAAGGCATATCCTATTAATAATAATGAAGTGATAACATAAAAAACACAACATGCAGACTACATAATGTGAATTTAAAGAAGAAAGCAAAAGAAAGAAAGAGAAAAAAAACTATTTAGCGTCACGTAAAAATAAAAAAAACTGGTGCATTTTTGTATTTACGCAAATATTCACCAAAGTAAATTACAAGTATTTCCAGCGTGTGAAGATAAAGTTGCACATATGAACGAGAACTTCCTTTGGGCAACAAAATATGATAAACAGAGGTAGACGTTTCGAGTGAGAAACAAAAATCAATCAACGTGTCTCTCAAAATATTTCTGAGGTATCTGATGTATATAGATATACTTCAAGTTAAATAAAATAGTCAAGTCTAAAATCTTGACAAAATACCGAATAATGTCTAGAGTACTCCGAGGAAAAGTGCAAAAGACGAGGTCAGTAAAGCTTTTTTAATTTAATAATAAGTACTATTAGTTTTTTTCTAAGTAAACTGATTTGCAATTGATTCAATTTATTTTTTAATTTTCAATTGATTTTCCTATTTTTTAAAATTATTTTCAAAATTGTATTCAATTGCTTTTGAAATTTTATTCATTCTGTTTTATAAATTGAATTAACTAATTCAATTAATTTCATAGTGTATAATAATATAAATTTTAATATTGTTTTAGTTTGATATTAAAGCCGAAATAAAATACAACTTTAAAAAGAAACATTTAAATAGGGGAAAAAATCTTTACTGATCTCTTTTAAATATGAAATTATGAACAATATTTGTAGATGATTAATTACGTTTATACTTGTTCTTTGATATTTTTACATTATGTACATTGAATTTATTTTTATGATCATAAATTTCTATGATTTATTTCATGATATTTCTATGATCGACATTAAATTTTTTTTTAAATTCTCGTTCTCAAATATTTTTGTTATTTTTTTTTTAATCTAGCAATGATTTTGTTGTTGTTTTTTAAACTAAAACCATAATTACATATTATAAGTTACGAAATATACAGTAATTAGATAATGTAATATACAATTGCATTAGTTACGAAGTATTTTGTTGTTAATAATTATAAAGTCCAACGTGAATTATCATTAATAAAACGTAGCGTTTGTTAAATCACATAACTGTCTTCGTCAACTGCTCTGACTACTTTTGCAATGTACAGTATTAAAGTGTCGACGATAAAAACTCCTTTTTGTTTTTAGTTTTATTATTTATCAATTCATTTAACTTCGCTATTATTTAACTAAATTTATGATAATAGGCAGTTACTTCTTAAATGAAGCGCAATAAAATCTTTTACTCGATAACTGTGCTGTTTTCACGCATACATAATTATTTTTTTCGCTTTCGTATTTAAATGTGTATTATAATTAATAAATTCCTGTCATAGCCACATATTAGTTTCCTTAAATCAGTGATATTATTCTACAATCATTATTTCTAATAAAATAAAAAAAATAAAATATTCAAATTAATTTTAAAATTAAAAATAAACATTGAAATCATTGACTCCTGTCAATTAAATTTATAAATCTGCTTTAAAATAAAAATGTGCGTAATTTTCTTTGATAAAAAATTTTAAAAGCCACTTTTGCATATTAAAATCAAAGTTATTCGAAATTATTATAGCTTTTCTAAATAAATAAAAAGACAGTTAATGTTGAAAATTTAGATTATTATTTGAAAATGTTTAATATTGTAAAAGAATCAAAGTTACTGAAAAAAGGACAAGAGTGACTGCAGAAAGATGAAAATTGTTAAAAAATTAATTTCAAAAATTTTTAAAAAAACTCGAAAATTTAAAAATTGTAATTTTGAAGATATTTAAAAAAATTACTAATTAGTGTAAATTTAACAAGAAAAAAATTAATTTGAGAGAAAAAATTTCTTGTGTAAGCACAACAATAAATTTTTAAATTACAAATAAATAATAATATACATGAAATTTAGTTTTTTATGCACACAAGATCTTCAAGATCCAGATAACTATGATAGAATTCGTACCTTACATTCATTCAAATATTAAAATTTAATTTAATGATTTATAACCACGGCAAGTCTTCAGTCATTTAAAGTCATCTGTTCTACAGAGCAAACAACTCCCTGCGTCGTCACATATTGAACATTTTAAATGCAATTGTTTTTACTTTTTAAATAATCGCTCTCCTATTATTCTATTATTTTCTTATTTTTTTGAGAGATTATTAATTCATGATAATTATAGTCCTTTGATTCTTTCACTGTTTTTATTTCACCATTCGTCCAATTGTGAATTGTCAAAACTTTTTTACAACAAACACAATCATGCTCTGAATTTAATTTCCATTTGTTATTTATTTTAACATTATTATCATTGCTTTTGAACTTTTTTATTTTTTTTATTAATTTTTATATTTATTTATTGAGAAACAATCTTTTCTTGTTGACGAATTGAGAATCAAAACCATTTTTTAAAATTTCTTGATTAAAACGATTTTTTCGTAATTACTTATAATTATAACAATCTTTGTAACTCTTGCATAAAACTTTAAAAAACATTAAAAATATCTACTAATTAATTTTTTTGTTTAAACAATTTTTTCAAATATTATAGTTTATTTTTTAAAAAATTTAAATATCTAATTAATTCAAATTCAATAAAATTTATTAATAAAAATGATGAAATTTAAAAAATTTTAATTTTACATATTTTAATTACTTTTTGAAAATAATTGAAACGATATCCACTGTATCGTGATTAAAATTAAAGTGAAATTAAATTCAGGAATAATTTTCGCATGATAATATTTGTTCAAATACAATCAATGCAGTTGAATTATTTTTTCTGTATGCATTACGATATAATCCCCTAAGAGCCCTTGACTATTTGTACTTTGCATACTCACACAGTGGCATTATCCAGGACAATCGTTTGGGTGTTGATGCCATTTCCATGATTCGTATGATGACCATTTAGCTCCCCTCCATTATCCTGATTATTATCGAGAATTATTTTATTTTCATTGATACCATTTGTGTGCATACCATTGCGCACAATGTCAGGAGATGAATTATTTTCCATACGATGAGCATTTTGCTCGCCACTGATAAATTGTTGAGTTGCCTCAGATATAAGACTGGCCGTCATAATATCGTCCACCTTATCGCCGGGCATTGCTTTATTCTCGTCACTTGGACTGTCTTCTTTTGATTTATCACCATCGCCACCTTCACCCTGTTGAATTTTAAAATTTTCCATGTCATTTTTTCAGTCTTTAGTTTTTTACATAAGTAGCTAATTTTGTACAATTATTTACCTTATTGGAATTAGATTGGTTCTTTCCGCGAGTTCGAAGCATAATAGCCTCGACTCTCTTGCGTCTGGCTATTCGCTCCTCTTCTTCCTTTTTCAGACGTTCCGCCATTTCAATTCTTTGTCTAAACAGCATTTCAAAAATTGTATAATACCAATCGCAACATTGTTTTTTCATGCAAATAATGTGAAAAAAATACCAGCTTTTCAAAAAACTGTTTGAATAAAAAATTTTTTATTTAGACTACTTACAAAAAATAGTTTTGAAAATTAAATTCACTCACTTTTCTGCTTCCTCTCTAGCCTTTTTCTCAGCTTCTTCCTTTTCTTGTTTCTGTTTCGCCTCTTCCTCTCTCTTTTTCCTATCTTCCTCTTCACGTTTTGTTGCTTCTTCAATAGCGAGACGTAATCTCTGTTCCTCTGCTTGTTTAGCTTCATTAGCAAGTCGGAGAGTTTCTTCTTCCAATCGACGTTGCTCTTCTTCTTCAGCTCGTAGTCTTTCAGCTTCAAGTCGCGCTTGCTCCTCCTGTTTATATAATTTTAAAAAAATTAATAGCAACCGAAATTATTTAGGAATTTAAAATATTCTGAATTAAATTTTTCTCTTACTAATCGCAGACGTTCAAGTTCAGCCTCTCGTTCTGCTTGTTCTCGAGCAATTCTTCGTCGCTCTGCCAAAGCAGCTTTTGCCTCTTCTTCTGTCGTGATCTTAATTTTTGCAATCATGGACGCTAAATGAAAAAAAAAATTATCACACTAAATTTTTTTTTGTCAGATATTAATATAAATTTAAGATTAATATTAAATTAAGATAAATTAAAGATTTTATTTAAATCTAAATCGTCAGTTTGTATTCTTAAAATTTGTAAGTTAAATTATGTGAAGAATTAACAAAAAACTTTACCCGACATATCAACTTGTTCATCGATCTCGATTTCTGATTTTAAATCAAGTTCTGGCGACTTTTTGCCTGCATTGTCATCCTTTTTGTTTAGAGCAATATCTTGTATTGCAGTTGATAAGTTTTCCAAAATGGATTCTTCTTGAGTTGACTTAGCAAGAGTCGTAGTTACCGGTTCATGAAGCTTGACTTCCTTTTTCATCTCGACAACTTTAACTTCTACTGGTTTCACATCTTGTTGAATCTAGATATAAGGAATATTTAAATTAAAAAAAATTAATTCCAACATTCTTTGTACTTTATTCATATTTTACTTGAAATTTTATTACTAAATTAAAAAAAAATTTTAGGAACGCATGAATAGTCCCTTAAAATAATAACATTTACAGTTTTGAAATTCATAAGGTTTCACTGAATTTGATAAAATAAAATTTATATTAAACTAAATTTTTATAACGAAAAATTTTTATTTAATTGGATTCTTATTTAATTCCATTTAATGAAAATTGGGTAAATTCAGTTCAACGTAAGAATTGGAGAAAAAAGGAATTTTTCCAACAAACCTCAATTTTCTCTGAGCCTTGATCAGTTTTCTCTTCCAGCTTCTCATCGAGTTTAGCGTATTTTGCTTCGAATGGTCGAATAATTTCGGTAGTATTTTCCCGAATCAATGGAACGTGCTCGACTCCGGGACTCTGAATAGGAGTTGCTTTCGGTGTGACGCGCGGCGAAGCCCTTGCGCTCTTGATGAGCTTATCAGAAGGTTTTCTTATCATCTCCGCAGCAGCTTTCGGTATCAATGGTTTCTTTGGAGTGCTATGGACCTTTGGCAGTGGTGGCTTCGAATCTTTCGTTAGTTTCATTTCTCCAAGCACATCTATAAAATTGTAGTCGTGCAAAGATAAATTTATAGCTTAATTTTTAATATTTATTTTTCAAAAATTATCGCTCTACATACCGAATTATAATATAATAATTATAATGCTCAACAAAATTTAATCAAAATGCAAAAATGAACTATTTCTTTAAGATTAAAAAAGTACAAAAATGAATTAAAAAAAATAAAATAAAAAAATAGAATTTAAAAAGGAAAGAAATAATTGATTACAAAAAAAAAACAAAGAAAATAAGAATTGTAAAAACTAATGATAGTAGAAATTAAATTGAAAATGATTAAAAAGAAAATGAAAAAAACTAAATTGAAAAAGAAGTTTACAGGGAATGGATCGAAACTATCTCTTGAGAGCTATGAAATTATTGCAAAAGGTGAACTTAAGGAAAGGTAGAAAGCCATGCTCACTGTGTCGTTCTGGGATAGAAACGCCAGTTCCGGCGATAGAAGCAGGTCGCGGACGACGAGGGGTGGCTGTGCGGGGACGCAGATTCACGATACTGTTGCCAACGCTGCAGGCACTCTGTTGACTCATGGAGCTGTGAGGTCGCGAATGACTGTTTGGAGTAGCTTCCCCGCTGCGGATACCTAACCACCCGACAGTTTTAGTTTTCTTTTTATATTTAATTCACTCAATTTTCACAATGACTGAGCACTTTATCTCTTATTTAAAAAAACAACAAAATTCAACAATAGTTTTTCGATAAGTTATACAAAATATTATTAAAATTAATTAAATTAATTAAAATCATTTCTGGTTTATTTAATTATTATTAATTATTACATATGCAGTTTTAAAATCTCTTTTCACAATTTTATGTAAGTTATGTTTTTAAACAGAAATTTATTTCTGTGCTCAAAGTAAAAAATGATATGTCAATTACTGTGGTAAAATACAAGAATTATAATTAAAATTATATTAGTTCCAGGCACAAAAATTATTTTTTCTAAACTTAAAAAACAAATTTCTTCATTCGTGAGTTATCGAAACAAAATTTTTGAAAAATGTTAGTCAAAATTCATTTACTTTTTTAATTTTTATCAGCTTGATATTTTTCAAATAAAACGTTAGATGCCCAAAGACAACAATTTAAACAGGCCCACCACCACTAAATGAAAAGCTTCAAAATTGGAAAGTAGAGAGTAAAAGGAAAATTTTTTAAAAATCTAAAAAACTCAATATGAAATTATACATTTCCTTAAAATTGATGAAACATATAGACATATAGAATATTTATAATCGCAGTCAAGTGAAATAAACAAGGAAAGCGTTTGTTTTGTACAGATACCTAAAAATTTGTATAATTTCATATTGAGTGTAAAAAAAATAAAATAATTGTTTAGCTTACCAGAATCGAAGGAATTCAGGGATACCATCACCTCTGTCATCAAAAAGACTGCGAGTAGAAAATTGTCTTTCAGGAGCTTATTGCTAATCAACTATCAAGTCATTAAAATGCTTTTTCAATATCAATTAAGAATTTTAGCTTTAGTGGAAAACAATGTTTTTTAAAAATAAAGTTTCTCTCAACTAAAAAAATGCTCTAAAAATGTTTTTTGATTACTAAAATGTTTCACATTTTTTTGTCAATAAAAATAAAAACAATAAATAGATGAATGGAAAAATAGAAAGAAATGAAAGATTAAAACAAATTTAATTTCAAAATTAAAGAAAAAAAAATTGTCACAAGTTAGAAAAATTTACTTAGCTTCTCATTGATTCACAAAGGCTCCCATTTAATGTTACCATGCAACGTTTGTGCTCCCAACTCATAAAGCTCCTATGCACAAGGAATCACAGCAAAATCCACAGAGTTCATAAAGCCTTTGAGACCCCGCGACAATGGTAAAGGGCAATAGGAAAATTTTTTGTCCCGATTTTATTTGAGCTGTGAATCCTTTTGCTACCAGTAAGCGTGAAAGGGTTCTCGTGAATATCTTTCTCAAATTCTACTTCCTCTACTTATTATGAAATTATTCAATTTAAAGAAAAATGCCAAACAAATCTAACGCGATGAATACAATAAAAATAAATTAAAGATAAAGAAAAATAATAATTATCGTTCCATTTAATTTTATTACTCTCACACAATTTTCACTATTTAAAAAAAAAAATATCAAGAATTGGTAAATATTAGGGAAAAAAGTATTCGAAAAAGTAAAATTCGAAGATGAGAGATAAAAGGATTCATGAATATTTCCTAAAACTCATTAGTTCAAATTTCGAATGGATCGAATTTTGTAAAATATAATGAATATCGACCCAAATCTTTACACTGTGGATTTTTAATTTAATCGAATTATCATTTAACAGAATATCTACTTAACGATTGATTCTGTTAAATGAAAATTCGGCAAACTATAGAATCTTTCGTTAAATAAGAATTATATTAAATATATATTACTTTAATTTTACGAATTTCAAAACACTGGAAATTTGAACTTATATTTTTTAGGGATTACTCATGAACGATAATGTTGTAACCCGTTACTTATACATAATTATTATATAAGTAACAGGTTACACGTATGTAACTGTTATAAGTGTTCACTGGATGTAAATGCAACTATACTTGTCCATTTCTGTGAAATCTGTATATAGTAATAAATGAAAAAAAATCCCCCAGGAGTTGAGTGCACTTTAACACGGGCATACCTGTCTGCTGATGATTTTGATACTCTCGAGCCTTACGACGAAGTCTCTCTGCCCTCGTGGGTCGTGGCACTGGTACCGAGCCCGGCAATGTACCCATGCTACGAGAATTATCCGAATGTTTAAGAATTTTTGCGCCTGATGCAGCTAAATGACACATGCTTCGACTCATGCTAGAAGCGCCCAGAGGCTGAGCTTGCTGCTGTTCCGTCAGTGTGCTAAGCTCGGTGGGACGTTTCCTAGGTTGCGAAAGTTGGTCCAGCCTGGACATGGAGTAAGTCCTACCTGGCGAACGTGTGAAGGCTTTTGAACTCGAACTGCGCGCTGACGTGGGCGGCGGTCCATCACGTGGCGATGGTATCGTTGGCATTAGATCCGTTCGTCTCCTATTCACACGAAGATATGCCGAACTTGGCGTTCCAGGAGATGCATCGCTATCATCACCTGTAAATGTTTTTGCTTGAAAGCCACATCTATTGGCCTAAATAATAACATGACAACAAATCACACACAACAAAACACGAATAAATTTGCTGGCACAATCAGCATTTCAACTATAGTTTTTTTTTTGTTTTTTTCATTTTTTAAAAGGATTCTCATTACATCCAAATCAGCTTTAACATTCATGCAAAACTTCTATTTTATACTAAATATTTATTCCACATTTATTTATAGTATAAATAATATTTTCGAATCCTCTCAATATCTTGGGAAAAAACATTTTTCTAACTTTCTTTAGCTGACAAAACTAAAATAATATTTTTAGTTTAAAATATGCACTTCTAGATTTTTTTTTTTTTTTTTTTTTAACCGTAATCTTGAACATTATTTTTAAATACTTTTTAATTATATTATTATTATTATTATTATTATTATGCATTTTTTTAAAAAAATATTTTAAAAAACGGAAAATTGATTTTTAAATTAATAATCCAAGTAATTTTTAGCATAAAAGTTGATGCAAACGAAATTTAACTTACAATTGCTGGATATAATTAATAAAAAAAGAGAGTTTTCACATTGAACACATGCTATGACGCTTTTTAATGACGAAATCGATAAACTTGTAATGATTAAGAAAGAAAACAATGGTAAACATTGACAGGAATGTAATACACATGCTTTGTAAATAAGAACATTAACAAACTTTGACATTTACACATATTATACAAATATACGCAAGCCTTTAATAGAAACGAAGACGAAATGAAATTTACTCAATTTAAATTATATAATCCAATCAAAAATTTAATTTATCAAGCTCACTAAAAAGTAGAATTTCATATTTTTTCTTTGTGAAATATGTTTATGAGTCGACTGAAAATATATCATATAATACAAATTATTCTAACTAATTAAGAAAAAACTAAAATTAATTAAACAGAAAAATTAGTAAAATTATTATTTAAATTGAATTGTCTCCTCGTAAAACGTTATGAGAAAAATTTCTCCGACTTTTATAAGAAAATATAATGCAAATATAAATATAAGAAATAAATGATACAGTCTATACAGAAGGAAAAAACGAAAAAAAGGAAGCGAGAAACAAACATACAGAAAAGTATTGCATGCGAGTGTACGGTTATTGTAAATGTATTAACGAAAACTTGATGACGAAGTGCTAATTAAATGTAAACAAAGATCAACAGTAATTTTGTGGCAGTTTCCTGATTACATAGGCTTCGTGTTTTCTGATTTTCGAAACTCACCACTGGCCCCCCGCTGAATCAGTGGACTTCTAGCATTGCTATATGACTTATCGTCAAAAGCAAAGATGTCAGTAGTAGGAGGTAAAGAGAGGCTTGCTCTCTTATTTTTAGCAGGAGTTAGGGGAGGATCAGGGCTAGTATTCCAATTGAAAACTTCGTACATGGACGAAGACATTCTCATATCTGTAAACAAACCACCGGTTCATGTCTCACCACTCGAAATTTTTCATAATTTTTTTTTATTTTGGAAAAAATTCACTTTTCAAATTATCACAATCCCAAAATAACTATTATAATTCTGAATGATTTTTTTTAAATTCACTTTCACCTTTACCACAATCTCAAAATAACTAATACAATCCTAAATGATCCACAATACGAGAAATTTATAATTATCATAAATAGAAAAATCTCATAAGAACGACTATACAAACAAATTATAAAAATTTTATTAATTCAAATTGAAAATATATTAGAATAACGAACAAGAAAAAATGAATCAAAATAATATAATTAATAAACTAATAATAAAATATTAAATAATAATTAAGTACGAAAGATTACACAATATATTAAGTAGCAAAATCCAACTCGACTAAAATGTAAACACGAGGGAGACGTAAGCACAACTAAAATCGACAATACAAATGAAATATTTTAAATTGAAAATAGCTGCAATAATAATTATTGGTGATAATATATTGTGAGGACAGAACCAATCACAATTATTATCGTAATAATATATTTCATTAGTTTTTCAAAATTACCTTCAAAATAATAGTCATTTAATATAATTTTAATGGTTCTTCTTTCATATTATTAACAAAAACAAATTCCTCAGGCTTGTGAGATATTCATTTTAATATATTCATATATTTTTTAATATTCTTAAAATTTTATTGTCTAATAATATTTTTTCTTTTAAATATATTTTTTTAAAGACTTTGTCAACTTTTTCCTAAGGTGTTAAAATGTCACAAGTCATTAAAAAGCTTTATTCCACATTTTACAAATTTTTGAAGCGAACCCAAATGGACAATATAAATAATTGATATCATTGTTATTCAACATCATGGCCTATGTTTGCACTTTGTAAAAAAAAATCAGTTTTTTGCTTAATGAAAAAAAGAATTGAGATGAAGTGAAAAAGTGCCTGAGAGTATTTTTTAGCAAATGTGCAACTAATGAAGCAAAAAAAAAAAACCACTTGCGTGAATCAGTTTCTATTGAATCTTTTATTGTACATATTTGTGATTGTGTCTCATTGTCAGCATCAATTTGTAGGAAAAAAAGTGAATAATTTCATATTAAATAATGTATTAAAAAATTCGCATAAAAAAGACGTGTGCTTCTTCTTTCTCATGCATCATAACGGATGGAAAAAGGAACATATATAACATAACAAAAAAAAAAAAATGCGGGTCAAAATATTAAGGGGAGGGTTATTGACAAAAAAAATAATTATCTGAGCCGAATTTAAATTCCATATTTTTAAATTACTGCTCGGTTCTAATTTTTCTTCCTCTTCATTTTCCCTTCTCGATTTTCATGTCTTTTTTTTAATGAGAGAGAATAAAAAAATCGGTGCATCCGCAACTCATCGCAACATCAATTAACGTAATTCTTACTCACATTTAGATGATCGATCGTTAACGATTCAGCGGAAATTCTGGCGTAAGAAAATACATTTCTCGAGAGAGCTGTTAATATTATAAATAATTCTACGAATATAAAGAAAATTTAACACTACGTCTCGACTGACGACACAGTCCTAAAATTGTTTCCCAATATTGTGAAAAGATACTCACACATCAAAAAAGTAAAGTATACCGTCGACGTTGAGGAATATTTCCCATAAATTCGGCCCAGTCTAAAATTGTTGGTTTGTCCAAAAAAAAAGGAAAAAAATTGAAAAAAACTGTTTTTCTCTTCTACTCACCTTCGCCTGGTTTTCGATCAAGACCGCCCGCAGAAGTGGCTCGCTTTTTGTTATTATCTAATTCTCGTTCCGAGGATCTCCTGGTCAATGGTAGGGCAGTAGGGAACATCATAACGTTTGTCGTTGATGTTGCACGTCGTGTTCCCCAAAATGTCGAACCACCAGTGTCCGCTGGCTCCAACATTCTCGGCGTAGAACTGCCAAACGCAAAAACAATGTGAGATCTCTCGTTCCGTCTCTTTGCCTCGATTCGCGCCTCTCGCTCTTGATTTTTCCGCAAAATTGCCTCGCGTCTCTCTCGTTCCGCCTCCCATATTAATCGCTTCTTTTCCTCGACTTGAATTCGTCTGAAGACGAAAATGTTGCGATATTAGAAATTGTGCCTCAATTTTTTTATTGTGATTTACAATATTTAAATTCATTGTTAATTCAAAAATTTAAATAATGCAGTACGAAGGAAAAACTCAGTTATCTCAGGGTATTTAGCTAAGGATATATTTCGCGCAGTCCGTTTTGTGAATATTGTCCTAAACGACAATATGATAACTAAGTTTTCCTTCGTATGGCAGAATAAATTGTAACTTATGTGAAAAGTTGGAATTTGCGAATTTGTTTTTGTAGTAAAAGGAAACATTTAATAGTTATACCTGTCGTTATCACGTGACCTAAGTTCATCGATACGTTTTCGCCTTTTTTCCTCTCGCAGCTCGAGGGAACGTTGAGCTGCTAGTGCTTGTTTCCTCAACTCTTCCAACTTCCGCTGTCGTTCCTCATTTTGCCTTTCACGAACAAGTTTCGCCCTGTCCACGTCCTTCGCACTTCCCGTCGACTCCCGTCCTGAAACACCATTGTTTATTAGTTTGTAACTTTCTCATAGATAACTCATTACAACAGAATTCCGCACAAAACGAAATCCTCAAAACGAAATATTCCAAGGATTACAACAAAGTGCATCGCCTACAATGTGTGAATTATATTGTTTAACAACGGATAATTATTTTGATGTTTAAAAAAGATAAAAGGCGTCACTTCAATCACTTTTTAAGACGAATTTTTGTTATTTCTTTTCTCTTATTTTTTTTATTCAAAAATGCATTTTTTAAAAAAGTGTCTAAATATTCAAAAAATAAGTGTTTTAAAACTTTTTAATTATTTCTATAAATTGTGTGTTTTGTTTAATGATTTCCTAAAATATACTTTAAAAAATAAATCGAATTTAATATTCAAGTTTGACAAAAAATATTATTTTCATCTTTTATAAATATATACAATTTTATACTCTTTAATTATGATCTTGTGCCAGGAAGTACGCAACATGAAATGGAGAAAAATGTGATTACGAGGATGATGATCATTTTCATTAAAAAAAAACAAAATTCTTATAAGAGAAAACCTCATTAACGACTTTCGGTCGAGTATAAGCAGCATACGAGACGAGCACGAATTTTTTTTGTGTGTCTATGGAAATGATTTCTCTACCTTGGTTCTCATAAGGATCTTCGCCATCAAGAGAGTCCTCACTGAAGATACTGCGACGCCTCACATCTGCCGAAGAACAAATGAAATTTTGCAGAAAAAACAATATGCGTGAAAAATAATGAAATGACACACGCAAAGACTTGACACAATAATTGTGTATTTTTTATCAATTTTTTCTTTCACAAATAAAAAACTCCATGCGTTTCTTTTGGGTGAAGCTGGCACAACAGAAGAAAAAAAAATTAACACGAAAGCAATACATGCCTCATGCAACAATTTTTAATAAGAAGGAAAAAAGCGATAAAAAGAGCGAAATAATACAAGTTTTTTCGAAATAAAAATATATATTTTTTAATTAGTCTCAAAAATTGATCTGAAAAATTTTAATTGAATTTAATTTAAATAAAAATTAATAAATAAACAAACAAAATTAAAATTAAACAGATAAAAAATGTATTTTTTAGAAAAATTCTGACAACAGTTATTTTAGAAGAAATGATTTTTTGATGAAAATTTGATGCTTTAATTACTTTTTAAAAAATTCGTTTTACATTTTACTAATTAAATAGAAAATTATCCTGTAAAATATAATGGAATGACAGAAATGTATTTTCGTAAAAATACTAGAATCTTTAGTTATAAATGGAGATCGTTATTTAACTCTCATTATTTCGACCGCGCTAGTTCATACTGAATGCATTTCGATTGGAATCGATTGGAACTTGTCCACTGAAGGCAATAAATTCACTTAAAAGCATATATTCAGCAATTTCGTCGTCGCCAGCAATAGTCGAATAAAATCACACAAGCGCACACACAATTTCATTCACATGTGCATGACATTCAATTTGTTCCACAACAATTGCCTCTTCTCTTCTTTAAATCATAACTTTTCCGACCGAAAACGCTTGAAAATACCTTTCAAAAATTGAGAAAACTTATTACCTATACATATTTCAATCATAAAACAAGTGTTTCAAAAAAATTCGATTATTGTATGGTTAAATTTTATTTTTATTGTTAACAAGTTTTTTCTTAAAAATATTCACATATTTTTTAAAGAAAAGAATAGTTACTATTTATTAATGCTATTAATTTTTTAAATGATTTTTTTGTTTAAAAAATTAATATAAATTATCTGTACACATGCAAATAATTTATTATAATATAGTTATTTTTTTATTCAAAGAGGAATTAAATCGATAAAAAACACTGCAGAACAAATTTTGGGCAAACGCCAATGACAACATTGCTTCCAACGATTGCTCAGAGAATTAAATGAGGCAAAAACGGTTTCAGTTAATCGACAAACTTTTTGGCAATCTTTTTGTTTACCTGGGGGATGAATCGAGATGTCTTCGCCACCGAGTTGAGCAAACCAATGCATCGTTTGTTCTAAAGAGAAATGAAGAAAAAAATTCAATTTTTTGTTTAAAACATTGACTCAGATTTTTTATTCTCAATTATTTTCATAAATTATTCCTGTGGAATATTTCAAAAATATTTTTGATGAGTACCTAACATTCCTGTACAATATTCTAAAAATATTCTTAATTCCAAAATTTGAAAAAAAAAAATTTACAAATCTTTATTTCAGAGAAAATTGAAAAAAATATTATACTATGCAGGTGTGTGAGAATTCACATCACCTAATTAGGACACATGTCATTAGTAATTCTAATGTAAAATGTCAGCTAACGCGACACAACGGAAATGAAATTGTCACTGTGCATCGGAAATTCACAAAAACTCAGGAAAATATCGCATAAAATAATACCTATTTATTTAATACCCTAAATAACGATAATACTCTAATACGATAATATTCTAGGAATTTTCATGATATTCCAATGTTAATTTTTTTTAGGAAAGTAAATTGAAATTGTATTTAAAAGAACAATGCAAATGTAATTAAATTAATTAACAGATGATAGACGAGGAATTTATACAATGAAATTAGATCATGAATTGAAGAGACATATATATTTTGAAAACGATTATATTCTATATAGTATTCCTTTTGCACTTGAAAAACTCGTAATTAAATGATTGAATACTCTCGGTTATGGTATCTGCTGACCTGAAAATAACGTACAGGATTTCAATCGGATTTCCTTTTATAATTTTCAAACTAGGACAAATTTTACAATTGCTACGAGCAAATTTCACACACACATATATATATAAAAAATCTATAATTGAAACTTTTTCATTTTCAAGTACATCTTCAATTACCCTGATAAAATGAGAATGTTTATAGAATAAAATGAGAGACAAAAAAGAAATGCTTTTATTTTAATTAAAAATAATTCAAGTGAAACAGTAGTCATTTGCGCTTAAGGCGATTAATTCCGGTCACCGCTCAATTCTGTTAATTTGACAAGTACATAGATCGTACTGGGAAATAGCTGAGAAATCTCGAAACGAGGCTGACTGCCAATTTGATTCCGTTTTCGGATCAGGGAAATGTAACTTTAACAATTCTTGATTTTACATCAAAATTATTTAGCCGAATTTCCAATAATATTTAGCTCTTTTAAAAATTCACTGAAACTGTAGTCACTCCAAGTAAATTGCATGAGTCAAGTGTTGAGAGAGAGAATACTTGGATGATGAGGATGAGAGGAAGTCGAGTGTAAGGGAGAGAGAATACAGTACTGCAAAATGAATGGTTGAAGAGGGTGAATCCTATTGTTGTCGCGGCCCACTTCGAATCACTGAAAGATTAACACCACCGCAATGAACGAGGGGATTTTCCCGTATTTAACTTTTCTGATATTGCTCTTTATGCAAACAATCCACTTAACAAGTAAAGCGATAACTTGAACAATTTCCTTAAAATCCTATTGAATATTTTTCGAATCGATACAAACCGAAAGAATATTCCCATTTTTCTAAAAAGTAATTACTCTAAATTATATTTATAATGTTAAATGAAATTATAAAAAATATCAGGGGAGGTGGATATATAAAAAAGCGTGATAAAAATTACAAAACCATATTTGCTATTTGCCTTAAGTGTATTCAAAAAATATAATAAAAATTTGTGTTGTTTTGATAGTAAAAAGCGTGTGTCACATTGCATGCAGACTTGTATCATATGTGTGACGTGCACATAATCTTTTGAATCAACAAATAAAATATATTAAACTTTATTTTATAAATTTAAAGAAATGCAATTGACAATAAATTTGAATATTTTATGATGAAAAATGGAAATTTTGATAATAAGAAATTAATTAAGTTTTAGAATATTCATACACAATAAAAACTTACCCTTCGTGAGAGAGTGGCGATGGTGTGCAGAGCTGGACCTTTGGCTATTTTCATCAGGAGCGGCTCCAGCTAAAAATAAATGAATAATAAACAATTAATAATAAATAATTTATAAATTGCAATAAGCAGAACCAAATGAATTATTAGAAATTAAATTTTATTATTTATAAATAATATATAAATTTGTTAATTGAACGGTTTTTAAGTTGGTTTTTAATATACAGGGTGAACAATTAATGCTATAATGTTCTGACATTATCGAATGACATTATCGCTCATGAATATTGAAACAGCTAAAACCCCTTCATTGAAGGATTTTCATTACCGTCCTGTCACAATGAACCAAGAACATTCTCGATTTTGAAAATCCAATTAAATCGAGAAATAGAATAATTAAGAAGATAAAATCATTCCCTTATAAACTAATAACTGAAATAACAAAGAAATATTTCTGGAAGATTATATAAAATAATACATATTCTGCTGGAATATTTCATTGAATTATCAAATAAATATTATATATATATTAAACAATTGTTACACTTTGATACTGACTTGATCTTCTCTGCTTCAATCTTTATCTCCAAACTTAATTCTCTACCCGTATAAAACAAGTTATTTCCGGGTTTTCATCCTTCGTCCTCGAAACTTGATCCAACTTCTTTCACGACTTATTCTCAGACATGTATTTTGCAGAAATACAATCAGACTTCAAATTTTGCTACGTCTAACAAAAAAATGTTCTTTTTTTTTATTGATACCCTTTTGCAAATTAGTAAAAATCCCGCAATGAAAAATAAAGAAACTAGTTTAAATATAGAAGAAATAAAATAATTTACATTTATTTGCAAAATATATTGTAGCAGAAATCCGAATTTTATTAGCGTAAAAGTTTCTATTTGTTACTTATCTTTTGACATTCCCAACGTTTTTAGCAATATTTTTAGCTTTATAAAAATATTGCAATATTCATGGCTGCAGTATATTCTTTTTCTCTTTTACTGACCAAATATTGAGTCTTTGTTCACATAGAAAAGCGTGTGAAGTGCATATTGCATGGTCAGGGAAAATAATGCTGGATCAATACTAAAAATATTTTTTTTTCCTCCTTATCAAAAAGGAAATACTTGATTTTTATAATTAATAATTGACAAGTTTTTTAAAAATAGTTGAGATATAAAATTTATTCCCATAAGAGAAAAATAACTTTCATAATTACTTTACTTTTTTATTACCAATATCTATTTTAAATTAACTATAATAATCTTGGTATTCATTCATTCATTCACTCATTCCGTCCGGACCCCTGCTGGGTTTTCGGTGACAGAGAAAAGAACAAGTTATGGAGAGAGAAAGATATATCTTTATTTTGCAAATGAGGGTTCGCTTGACCTGCAATCTGGTAAAGAGGATTAATTAATAACTCTGAGGACCCAGGTAATTATTTCTTTCTCCCTTTATCACGTGAAAAAGCTATAAAGAAAGTCTAAAACTGAATAGGTAACGCATAACTTCCTTTCTTACACCAAGGAATATAACATAAGTACTTCTTTGTTTAACTTTTCGTTTCTCTATCTAGACGATTGAAAATGGCATAACATCTTCGTCTAAAATCTTAATCTTCTTCCTTTTTGTTTTAAGAATAAAAATAAATATTCATATATCTGTATATATGTATATAGGGGAGAGTGACAAACAGTGGGACAGTTTTTTCAAAGACATATTAATATGTTAATTTTATATATTTTTGGACACTGTTTAAATTAAGCAATCGCAAAAAATTATTTAAATAAAAATTGTTTGTAACATTTTAAAATAGGTATTTTAAATTATTGGATATTAGGGTAAATGTACCAGTGGTGGAAATTTTATGAAATAAAATCATTTGAAAATATTTAGGAAAACAGAGCAATACAACAATTGTTGATTTTATGCTTTTTCACATGAAATCTTAAAAAATAATTGTTTAGTCTAAATTTTTTTAATTTTTAGAGTAGAAAGTAATCAATTCTTTCCATATAGAATACTTTTGGAAAAAAATTTACATCATTAAGTTATTTTTGTGTAGTGTAAAGGGGTAAATGATCCACGACTGGAGCAATGTCATTTTATTGTTGAATGGGAGTGTGAGGGGGTGTAAACGTTACAAGCAGGTCGAAAACTACACGATAGTGTCCTTGGAGACTTGTTAATTCATACTATTGTAAAGATTACCCTATATTTTTCATCTGAAAAAATCTGTACACCTTTAAAGTCAAAATAATAAATTTAGTAGGCTTAATTGATCCACCACTGGTGCAGTTACCCTATACTTAAAAACATCAGTAAACGAAGTAACAATTACACTTTTTTTAAAACTGTCCTATTTATATAAAAATCAGCATTGTATTTCAAGAAAAAATATACTCTGTAACGTCAAAAACAGTTTTTTTTCAATTTTCTTTGTAAATAATGAATCAATGTGGCTAAAATTTTTGGAGATAGTGTGTTGTCATAAACATGCTTTACATTTAAATCTTGGTCGAGTTTCTTTAAGTAGTTTTTCAGAAAATTAAAGTGTCCTACTGTTTAAACTGTGCCACTGTTTATCACTTTCCCTACCTGTATTAGAGCCCCAGAAAATTTTAATAAAAAAATTTAAAAATTATTACCTGGCCCCTCAGAATTAATCTTCATTAACAAAGGCTCTATTGTCCAAGGATTGGTAATGTTTGTGGTAATTGTTCTGAGGGTCTAATACTGGTATATATACATATTTTTTTTTATTTTGAAAACAGACAAAAAAAGAAGAGTAAGATTTCTAGGCGAAGATATTCTTATGTTATTTTGAATCCTCTAGATAGAGAAATGCAATATTAAATGAAAATGTTTATATGTTATATTCCTTGATGTGAGAAAGAAAGATATACATTACCTCTTCAGTTTTTGCCTTTTATCTTTATATTTCCATGTGATAATACACGGAAAAAATTTCGAGACATCAGACGTGCCGATGTCAATGTAAACCTACAGTACATTTTATTATGTACTCAGAGTTAATCTTCATTAACAAAGGTTCTATTGGCCAAGGGTTGGTACATCTTTATTTTTCTATATAATAAATGTGAAAAAGAAATTATTACCTGGGTCCTCAGAGTTAATCCTCATTAACAAAGGTTCTATTGTCCAATGGCTGGTTTTTTTGTGGTATTTGTTCCGGGGTCTTAATACAGGTATGAATACGTATATATGTTATTTATAATGAACTACTGATTACTCATATAAGAGTGTCCTTTTTGCACTTATTGGCTGATCAGTAGTTACTGATTCATAGTTACACATAGTTCTCTCATTCATTTGGATATATGGTAGTTTTATTGGATAAAAGGCAAAATTGGTTATATTGGATTAAAGTAAAAATTGGTTATATAGAATTAAAGGAAAAATTGGTTATATTTAGTAAAAGGTAAAATTAGTTGTATTGAATTAAAGGAAAAATTGGTTATATTTAATAAAAGGTAAAATTGGTTGTATTGAATTAAAGACAAAATTGGTTATATTTAATAAAAGGCAAAATTGGTTATATTACAGGGAGTGAGCAAAAGGGTTAAAGATATTTAGATTTTCATGAATCAAAAATAAAATTAAACGAAGTATACTATGGCCAACATAAAAGAGTATATTATTTTAAGTGATAAAGATTTAAAAATTATTGAAAATAGAAATAAATTGTTAAATTACATGCACATGTACAAATTTGAAGATTTATTAAGAAAAGATTCCTTTGTATGTACAAATGCTTGATTTTATTGTCCCAATTAGAGACGGTGATAAACATATTCAAATACTTTATAGTTTTTGAAACTGTTGATCAACAACCTTTTGGTAGTGCTGAGTGTGGAGTATATGCAATAGCATTTGCAACATCTATATTATTTAACGTAATGCCAAACCGTGTAAATTATGAAACTGATAATAACAAAATGAGAAACAATTTTAAGTCAATGTTTGAAAATAATCGCTTAAATCATTTTCCGACAGTAAGAACGTCTCACAATAGGAATTCGATAATAGAGAATGATTAGAACCATCTTTTCATAAATTGAACACAGGAACATAAAAATTATGTTTTTAGTAATTATATTCCCAGTAATAATATTAACAGAGTTCTATTAACACAAGATTTAAAAATTAAACGTTCTCTAAATGACACTAGTGAAAAGAAAATAATTCGTACAACTGATAATAAGGTGAACAAAATTTCACCACATGAATATTTAAAAATGAAAAATTTTCTGAGTAAAGAAAATGATAAAAAGATAAATCGAGCAATTAAAGAGAAGGGAAGAAAAAGGAAGGCAAGGCGCGAAGTTACATATGAGCAGAAAATAATAAGACAGGGGAATGAGAGATTGAGAAAACGTAATCGTAATAAATCAGAAATAAAATAGAAAGAGCGCAAAAAAAATTTGACATGCAAAAAAAGAAATTATCTATAAAAATTAAAGATGGAAAGAAACTACAAAAGGATAAAAATTTGGCATGTAGAAAAAGAAAAATATCAATGGAAACTCAAGATGAAAGAAAGTGCATCAAGAAAATAATTTGTCATGTAAGAAGAAAAAATTTTCTACGGCAACGGAAGATGAAAGGAATGTGTGAAGAAAAGAATTTGACATGTAAAAACGATAATTGGAATAAAAAAAGTGCAGGAGTTGCAATAATGTCTTTTGAAGATTTAGATGAAAGTAAAGTTCCACAGAATTATTTAGGTTTAATAAATGTAGAATGTAAGTTTTGTAACGCGTTACATTTTTTGTGTGAAAGACCGTCCCATAGATACATCACGGAGGAATGTCCCCGTGAAGAGGACATTATGATATCGCCTAAATGTCACAAAAATATTCCCGGTTGATATCAGCTTGACATTCAAGCAATATACCGTGCTACTTGGGTGGTAGATCCAATATAAAGAACTTTTTTTTTACATTTCTAATATTAAATTTTTTTGAAAAAAAATGAATAAAAAATATGGTTAATGCACACTAGCAACGTAGTCGGCCGCTTGCGGACGACAAAGTTGCTAGTTA